CGCGCTATATAAATTAATATTTTAACAATAATAATTGAAAAGGTACCATATTTTGAAAACATGTTTTTGACGTAAAATTTGACGGAGAATGCGATAAAAATACTAAAAACTTGATTCGTTTTGGGGGCGTTTGTTAAAAATCGATTTAAACAATTAAATTGTTAATAACAATATAAATTTGTTAGTATTTTTTGTAAAAAAAATTTTTTTCTTACAGTTCAGTCCTTCAGCTACAAAAGTGCAATTGGTGAAAATTTTGTAGCTCTTAAAGATTCGGACCTATGGATTTATGAAAATGAGTCTCCAAGCCAAAAAACTTGCCATTCTCAAATGTTCGATCACTTGTATTATCGAAAATATGCAAATAAAAAAAAATTCCTCGGACACGTATCTCTTTTTTTTTCGACATAGAATCCGTAAAAAAAGTTTCAGTCAAATCGAAGAGGTGTCGATCAGACAGGTGTTCGATTTGTAAAAGAATTACCCATATATGTTAAATATAAGATTATCGAAATTGAATTTCTATATGTTATAACAAGAAATTTATTATTAATAAATAATTGTTCGATAAGCATTTCAAAATATGTAAGTATTCATTTTTCCTGCATATAAATATAGCTATTTATATCGTTGGGAATAAAATTGCGAACTATCATTTAATTTAAAAGATTCTTTCATTATCTTCTGTTATAATAAAAAGTATATCAAAATTTCATTAACTTGCGGATTCTTCTACTATAAAATAATTATCTTTTTTCATAGAATATTTAAAATAAATTTTTCGATTTTTTATAATTTCGGAAATAATCTTTGATCCATGGGAAACCCATAAAAATTTCGGATCGACAAGCACGCAATTTTATCTCCAACGATATAAATAATTATATTTGTATGCTGGAAAAATGAATACTTAAGGTGCCTTTACATCCCGACGTTCGACGCTCATTTACGGCGTCAAAATAATATTTTATTAATTGAAATATCTCATTTTTACATTCAAATTAAGTTAGTATACAACAGCTTTAATGTACACTGAGTACACATTAAAACTGTTGTATACTAACATTATTCTATCTGTAAATAATGCTATGAGCGTCGAGTGTCAGCATAAAAAAGTAACCTTTATGTATTTTTTTATTGAATACTTATCTAACAATTATTTATTAATAATTTCTTTTATACATATAGAAATTCAATTTCAATAATCTTGTATTTATTATCGTATGTGCAGTAGATATGTAGGTATTCACATCCGCCATCTTGGTCCCACTTGACTAATAGATTATAGAAAGATTAATGACAAAAGTAAATGTTAAGAAGAGCTCAAGACAACAACACTGAATCGATACGTTTTCGCGTAAAAATAAAGATTTGACAAGAAAAAGTTATCGCTCTGCTCTGCGAATCGAGATATTAATCCTTAAAGTCAATGACTATTCGAGTTAGAAAATCTGTCATAAGTTCACTATATGCTTTAAAAACATAAAATCTTTGCTACAATAGTAAATTTGCACTAAAAAAGCAATGAATTTGTGTTTTTAAAGCAGTGAATCACTGCTGTGACTAAGGCACTACAATATAAGTATTTCCATCCGCCATTTTTAGTCCTTTCCCCACTCCTTGCTCTTTTCTCACTCCGCCACTGAGCTGAGAAGATTACGGTCATTATAGTTGTTACGATTTCTAAGCTGTCAAAACCTTATAGGTTCGTTTATATAAGTATTCTATGATATGTACGACTTTCTACCATTTAATTTCCCAAGACTGAAAGACAAAAAAAAGAATATAGACAAAATAAGAAAACCGAAATATTTATATATATTAAAACAATAATATTTGGGGTATTCCATGTCAAGTCAGCCACCCATTTTTGCGAAGTTTTATGGAGATTTCGTTCATATTGCTTGAGTTTGAACAGTTTGATGAATAAAGACTCTATGTCGTATAATAGACCCGTAGACTAACTGGTTGCCGAACTGTAGGATCGTCAATTTTTGGGCTTTCTCGTCGCAGCGCTCTTTTCTTAAATTTCTTAAATATTTCTTAAATTTCTTTAATTTTTGCAGTTTGTTTAGAACTGTAAAGTATTTAGTAATTTTTTCTGTTTGTTTAGAATCATATATAATTTTTGAAATATAGTTTAGATTTGTTGGAAATTATATAAATGTGAATAACTGTAACCAATAAGAACATTTACTTTATAAGTAGTTTTCTTGTTTCAGAACCACTTTGAAGAATCGCAATTTAAGACTGGTGAGCAGATACTCGTAATTGGCAAAAATTAAAAGTGAAACCAAATGCCATACCGACACTATTCAATACACTTAATCTATCTTTTGCAATGAATATCAATAAAACAGCTAAAAGTAATGAAAATACAACTAAATATGATGAAAATTCAACTGCAGAATCAAATATGAATACAACTGTTGAGAAAAACGTAAGCTTCTGTGATATATAATATTATAGTAAAGTGAAAGAAATGATACTTCTTTGTTTATTTTGTAGGTATATATTTACACTTACACCGACATGTACACACTCTTTTTGGTATATTTCATGCTCTACATTCTATCACACATACTTCGCGACCAGATGGCGTACTCTCACTATATTCAATCTCCTACCTAGATACTCCTAGAATTTTCGAGAACTTTCCTTCTCCTTCGAGAACGAGATTCCTTCCGGAACATATGATTATTCTGTCTAGAACCGTTGAGAGATAATATATTCATATTTAACATTGTCGCGATAGGATATTGTAATTGTTATACAATAAACGTTGTTAATTGTTACTTCGAGTACCTTCAATTATTCACATTCATACCATATTATATATGTAGCCATCCGCTACAATTTGTTCACACATTATTACATGTATAAGTGTAACCACTCTTGTGGTTACACTTATACTAAGGCAAGTCAATAAATTTTTAGAAAAACATAGTAAAACATTTTTTTTGATCGATTCATTTTTATTTCTCAACATAGTCTCCTTTCAGCTCGATACACTTGATACAACTTCTCCAACTTTTTCAAGCCATCCGAATAATATGATTTGTCCAACCCTTCAAAATAAGCCTCTGTTTCGGCGAACCCGAATGAATGAGCTGCTCTCTGATGATGAATCTCTTTCCTCCGAACCATTTCTTCAGGTTTGGAAACAGGAAATAGTCGCAGGGGGCTAAATCTGGCGAATATGCTGGATGGGGAAGCAATTCGTAGCGAAATTCGGCCATCGATGCCGGGTACGTGTGAACCCGTGCATTGTCTTGATGGAAGAGCACTTTCTTCTTCGCCAAATGGGGACGTTTTTTCTTTAAAATGTTGTTGAAAACGATTCAATAAGGCTGCGTAGTAATTGCCAATGAACGTTTGCTTCGACGGAAGGTAATCGATATGAATTATTCCGCGTGCATCCCAAAAAACTGTGGCCATCACCTTTCCGGTCGACTTCACGGTCTTCGCCTTCTTCGGAGCTGGTTCAC